CCATCTCCTACCTACTAACCTCATCCCGCCCCCTTGACCTGTCCGTCCTCCCTGGACTGACCAATCCCCTCCCTAACTCCCCACCTACACTCACCTTTACTGGCCCCATCCCCGCCTCTTCGACCTGTTTGTTTCCTCTCCACCTATCCTCTCCTCTATCCATCTTCTATCCGCCTCCCACTCTCTCCCTATTTATTTCAGAACCCCCTTCCCCTCCCCCTTTTCTGATGAAGGGTCTGGGCCCGAAACGTCAGCCTCTCTGCTCCTATGATGCTGCTTGGCCTGCTGTGTTCATCCAGCCCTGCACCTTGTTGTTTCTTCCACCACTTCTCTCTGTTTTCTATTACCAGGCCAGTTTTATACCCATCTAGCCAGCTCACCCTCGATCCCATGAGGTCTTTTATCTGATTCCTTACTAATGTCCTTGTAGACAACATCCACTGTGCTTTCCTCATCAGTCCTTCTTGTCATCTCCTCAAAAAGCTCAATCAAGTTGATGAGACATGACCTTGCCCTCACAAACCCATGCTGCCTATCAATAACAAGCCCATTCACTTCCAAATGTGAATAAATCCTGTCTCTCAGTATCTTCTCCCACAGTTTACCCACCACTGACTGCTCACTGGCTGTAATTACCTGGATTATCTCTGATTCCCTTCTTAAACAATGGAACAACACTGGCTGTTTTCCAGTCCTCTGGAACTATGCCTGTAGCCAAAAAGGATCCAGAGATATCTGTTAAGGCCAGTGTTATTTTCTCCCTTGCCTCCCACAGAATCCTGGGGTAGATCCCGTCTGGCCCTGGGGACTTGACTACCTTAATTTATTTCAAGAAACCCAACAATTCCACCTTCATTATGTTAGCCTGTCCAAGAGTATTTACGTACCTTTCCCTAACCTCAACATCCCTCATGTCCCTGTCTTTGGTGGATACCAATGGAAAGTACTCATTGAGGGTCTCACCCATTTTCTTTGGGTCCACACATAACCTCTCTGCTTTACCCTTGAGTGAGTTGTTTCAGTCTATAGCTATTCTCTTGCTCCTACTATATATATATAAAATGCCTTAGGATTGTCCTGGCCAAGGACGTTTCAAATCCCCTTTTAGCCCTCCTAACTCCCTGTTTGAGCTCCCTCTTCCTCCATATTCTGGAAGGACTTCACCTGTTTTTACTTGCCCAGACCTTCGGCGTGTTTCGTATGGTTTTTGACTAAGCTGATAATTTCCCTTGTCATCCAAGATTCCGGAACCCTGCATTCCTGTCCTTCATTTACAGGAACCTGCCTGTCCTGCACTCTAATCAAGTAGCCCTTAAAAGCCTCACACGTGTCTGATGTGGATTTATCCTCCAGCAATCTACATTCTCCAGTTCTTGCATAATTTGCTTATAGGTGGCATTCCCCCAGTATAACATAACTAAATAAGCAGTAGACAATTTGGGGACAATCTTGCTAGATCTTCCGAGTCCTGTTTCCTTTTTGTTTTGTGGAAGTCACTGCTAAGTGTAGAGTAGAAAACCTTAGAATATTAATTTTATTGCATATCTGAAGAAAGTTCTGCTTAACGCTTTGAGAAATTAACATGACATCTGGTAATTGATCAGAAGCAGGAAGGAATGATTACCTTTTAGAGAAGCTATTTGACAGATTGAGGTGGTGGTTGTGGAAATGGAATGCTTCTGGGTGTAGGGGTTCCTACTATTTCCAGTTTACAACAGTGACTTCAATTGTTTTTCAGTTTCTTTAACTTCACTTCACTTCTCCTGTTTTTGTCTTGGGTAGCTAGTAAACTCAAAACATTGATGTTGGATTTGATGTCTCCTTTATCCCCTTAAGGAATTCATTGTGTTTACTTAGCTGCTGTTTCTGGCTGAATGACTTTCACACATTAGGTGTCAGCATGCAAAAATTTTCATTCTTTGGATTTGTATTTGAGAACTTCTTGGAGCGCCTTCCATTTGGAGGTTGCTGTTTTCTCCCAATATTTTTGTCATATTGGCACCTCTAAGAAATCATGCAATAAATTAAGTTTTCCTAATGGTTGTTCAAATGACTTTTGAATGATTTATTTTCAAAATGTCATCTTTTCTGGGAAATTACCTGATAGAGTTTATCATGCCATTAATACCGGTACATCTGCAATTGAACTTTACCTGATTGCTTTCCAGGGCAGTTTGAAGTTACTGAGCTCTTTGAAATGAGTGTACCATTCCAGAACATACAAGGTTTTTTTTCAATAACACTACTAGGGTTGGCATGCTTTCAGCACAATCTGTTCAGGCTGAGAACATTCTCTTTAATTTGCTTTAAACTTGTTAAGATTTAGTGAAAGGCTGCTTGTTGAAATTTATTTGCCTAATACCAGATCAAACAAAGCTTTATTTGGAAATTACTATGATTGTTTAGAATATTCATCTTTATTTCTTTTTACAAACAGACTGACAATGAAAAGACTGATAATACGTTGAAGTTGAATAGCAAAGACCAACTAATTGAACAACTTGAAAAAACAGTTAAAGAACATGAAAATGCTACATTATTCTTGAAAGATAAGATGCTTGCTTCTGATAAATTAGTTCAAGATTTAAATGAACAGATATTGCAAAAGAATGAAGAGGCTGAGAACCTGAGAACAGAATTGACGAGCTCAAAGCAAAGGGAGAGACAGTCATCAGATGAAATAAAACAGTTAATGGGTACTGTAGAAGCACTTCAGAAACGCTGTCACATGGGCAATTTGTCTGAATTAGAAGCGATACAAAGAATTGAAATAGAAAGTCATCGAAAAATGGAGCAACTTCAAGCAGAATTGGATGAGATGTATGGTAAACAAATCGTGCAGATGAAACAAGAATTGCAGCAGCAGCATACTTTAGAGATTAGGAAACTTACCGAACAACATAAAACTGAAATGGAAACAGCTTTGGGTCGTTCTGTTAATAATTTAGTCAATGAGGAACAAATTGATGTGTTAAATGTGGCAATCAATGAATTAAATGCCAAGTTAAGAGACTCTCATTTTCAGAGAGATCAAATAAGGCAAGAACTGACACAACAGCTGGAAAGAACTTCTGAAGAAAACATACAGCTACAGAACCAAGTTCAAGAACTCTTAGGAGAGCTCAACTTCACAAAAGATCAAATTCGGAGAGCCTCAGAAAGCATTGCTGATCAGAAATGCAAAGCACGTGAAGTGGAAGAACTGAAAGACATGGTTGAACAATTGAAAGCCGAACTATTAGCTACTTCAGAGTCTAATAAAGAGCTGGAATCTGAGCACGAGGCGGAAATTACCAATTATAAAATTAAGCTCGACATGCTGGAGAGGGAAAAAGATGAAGTCTTGGACAGAATGGCTGAATCTCAGGAAGCTGAATTAGAAAGAGTAAGGACTCAACTTCTCTTTAGTCATGAGGAAGAGCTATGCAAACTAAAAGAAGACCTAGAAAGGGAGTATAAATTAAACATTTGTAATCTTCAAGAAGATTTGGCCATGAAACAGAGTCAGCAATTAGAAAATTTGCAAACAGAATTTAGAAAAGAAATGGAAGAAATGAAATGTGAAAGGGATAATGTTGTAATTAAAAATAACCAACTATTATCTGAGATTGCTATATTGAAAGAGGAACTGCAGATATCAATTAAAAATGATAAACTGGAAGCAACACATTTACAAATACTTGAACTTGAAACAGAAATTGAAGCACTAAGAGAAGTTGAGAAAGAAAAGAGTACACTAGAAAAGGGAATACTGGAGCTACAAGTCAGGAATAAAGTTTTGGAGGAACAGTTCACTGACCAAGAAGCTGTGCAGATGAAAATCACTAGTCTTCAAAAGGAAAATGAAGGTCTTAAAGAAATCAAAAAACAACTGGAAGAAAAGTTGAAAATTCATTTTGTACCTGAAGAAAGTAAGTTGGCATCAGTTGATGAAGATGATCTTTCAGAAATGAAAGAACAGATCGAAAGGCTTACAGCAGTTAATGGGCAACTCGAAGCCCGGGAGAGAGCGCTTCGTGAGGAGGTTGAGAGACAAAGGAACACCTTTTCTTTTGCTGAGAAAAATTTTGAAGTTAACTTTCAAGAATTACGTGATGAATATGATTGTCTATTGAAAATGAAGTCACACACAGAAGAAAGGATGTTTAAGCAAGAAGCTGAATATGAAGCTAAATTAAAGGTCTTAAATGAACAGCTCCAACTGTTAAAGTCAGACACAGAAAATTGCACAGTGAAAAATGAAGTGCAGCTAGACAAAACACTCGATGGTTCCAGTACCCAACCAATAGAAGTTATTGAAAAAGATGCAACTGAACTAATGGAGAAACTTGAGATAGCTCAGCAGGATAAGCATGAGCTCTCAAAGAGACTGACCGATCTTTCAGAGGTTTTGATTTTGAGACAGAATGAAATTTTACATTTGAAAGAGGAACTAACATTTCTAAAAGGGCAAGCCAAAGAAAGGTGTGAGGAAACTGCCCGAATTGAGAGTCAGAAAGTACCAGATGTTGAAGTAGAGACCCAAGAACACAAGCAAATGTCCCAAACAAATTTAATAAAAGCAAAGAATGAATATCAGTCTAAAGAACCATCTTTTATTGTTTCCTGTGATTTAAAAGAACATGAGCAACAGAAAGAAGATCTAATGGAACAACTAATTTCACTACAAAATTCGATGAAGATTCTTGTTTCAGAAACAGATGAGATGAAACAAAATCAGATTAACTTTATTCAAGAAAAAGAGTCTTTACTAACCCAAATTAAGCACTTAGAGGAGAAACTGGCATCTGAGTCCTTAGGCAATCCACAGACTGAAATGGACCATCTTAGGCGTCAGCTGGAGTCAGCTCGAAATGAGCAGTTGGGATTGGCTGAACTTGTACAGCAGAAAATGTTGCTAGAAGAAACCTTTCACAAAGAAAGAGAGGAGATGAAAAATGCCCTAATTATAACTCAGCAGGAGAAGTTAGAACTGGAGAAGAAGATTGAAGCACAAATTGGAGTTTCTACTTGTGAACAGCATACTGAATTGGGGGCAAATCAGGTATGTGAGAAGAGTGGGAGAAAAATTACAATACTGCAAATATAACACATAATTCTGGAAATTTTATAATACCATATTTATCATGGTTTTGGTAATCATTCACCCTCAAAGTCTATTTCTATTTTCTCAAAGCTGATATAATTGGGTCCTTAAATATGTTTTTACCATTGGTTATAAGTTTTTAAAATTTCACTTAAGCATAGACTTTACTCATAATTCAAATACAACTTCTGTTATGAGCTACATGCATTCTGCGTTGTCACAGGCAAAAGACATGGAACACAAAGTTCAGGCATATACTGCTTTTGATCAAGGTTACAAGACACAACTGGAACAAACTAAACTGCAGGCAGAGGTATAGTTCTCTAAATTTAGTTCAAAATTATTATAATTTTGCCACTCTTCTCAACCTACCTCCATCAGTACATCCGCACCATAAAAATATGGTCACTAAAAAAGGTATATAATACTTTAAGAAAATTGGAACAATTTGACTTTATATTGTTAAAATGTTATCTGAAGAGGTTAAGAAATTTTATATTTCTTAAATTGACATCCTTGTAAACTGGTGCATTCAGTGAATGTCTACATTTCATTCCAAATTTTTTTTTGCCACTGTTCCCAAATAATATTCTTGTAAGTAATCATGTTCAAGAAACTGATTTTTCTGTTTACTGGCAGGCAGAGTTAAAACTACAGTTGGAGGCTCAGCGCATTAGTCTTGCACAGGTTTATGCTACTCAACTGGAGCTTGTACAGGACAGTTTGAAAAATGAAAAAGAAATTGCTCTTGAAAGACTTCGAGAGAAGCTCACAGCCTCTCACTCTTCAGAAATAAGGCAGCTTCAAGCATTATCCCAGCAGGAATTACAGCACGTCAAAGAATCGCACAAAGGTGATTAAAAATAGACGCTCTCAGTGGGGATAGCAGAGTCTGAACCTGTTTAATGTAAAACCAATATAACATTAATATTTGATTATTGTTAAATGTTTTAATTTATTTTTGATAGCCCTGTTCTGTGGAAGCATGTTTTGGTAGCTTTAAACATTGCTTCCAGTGCACAACTCCTGACCTCATTACAGCCTTGGTTCAAACATGGACAAAAGAGCTGAATTCCAGATGTGAGGCGAGAGTGACGGCCCTTGATATCAAGGCTGCATTTGACCAAGTGTGGCATCAAGGAGCCCGAGCAAAACTGGAATAAGTGGATATCAGGGGGCAAACACTCTGGTGGTTGGAGTCATACCTGACACATAGGAAGATGGTTGTGGTTGTTGGAGGTGCAGGACATCTTTGCAGGAGTTCCTCAGGGTAGTGTCCTTGGCCCAACCATCTTCAGCTGCTTAATCAATGACCTTCCCTCTATCATAAGGTCAGAAGTGGGGATGTTTGCACAATGTTCAGCACCATTCGTGACTCCTCAGATACTGAAGCAGTTCATGTTCACGTGCAGCAAGATCTAGACAATATCCAGCCTTGTGCTGACAAGTGGCAAGAGACATTTGCGTCACACAAGTGCCAGGCTATGACTGTCACCAATAAGAGACAATCTAACCACTGTCCCTTGACATTCAATGATGTTACCATCACTGAATCCTCCACTATCAACATCCTGGGTGCTATCATTGACTAGAGACTCAACTGGACTCACCACATAAACACAGTGGCTGCAAGAACAGGTTAGAAGCTAGGAATATTGCAGTGAGTAACTCACCTGATTTCTCAAAGCCTGTCTACCATGTACAAGGCACAAGTCAGGAGTGTGATGGAATACTCCCCACTTGCCTGGATGAGTGCAGCCCCAACAACACTCAAGAAGCTTGATACCATCCAGGACAAAGCAGCCCGTTTGACTGGCACTACATACACAAGCATGCATTCCCTCCACCACCAACGCTCAGTAGCAGCAGTGTGTATTATCTACAAGGTGCACTGCAGAAATTCACCAAAGATTATCAAAATCCTGGAATTCCCTCCCTGAAAGCATTGTGGGTCAACCTGCAGCAGTTCAAGAGGGAGCTCACCACCACCTTTTCAAGGGCAATTAAGGATGGGCAAGAAATGCTGGCTAGACAGCGATGCCCACATCCCACAAATGAATAAAAAAAGGCACTAATTATGGCATGAGCATTGACCTGCACATTTCCCAAAGTAATTTAAACAGATGCTCAACCCTCCATTCTAAATTAGTTTTCTGAATTGTCATGATGAGCAAAACCTTTATTACTCAATGGAGTGACTCAGAGAGGGCAAGTATTTTCACAATTAAATGTTACCTTCAGCTGGGCAAATGTTCTAAATTCATAAATGATTTGCATATGGTTTTGATTGCGTTAACTTATTTTAGGTTTGTTTAGCACACCTGTGCTACACTAGGACTATGGCAACCTTGCCTTGTGTTAGAAATCTAATTTGTAATAAATGGTTATTGTTTAGACTTTGAAGAATGTTCACAAGCCTTGATGGAGAAACTCAACAAGAAGATTTCAGATGAATGCATGCAACTCACCCAGGTACATTAAAAAGACTTAGAAATGTCACATTGTTAGGAATTATGCTGAACCTTTGTTTAAAAGTATTCTGATATTTTTCACATTTCAAAATGAGATTGCTTTTCAGAGCAAGTAATTCTTAAATTTTGTACTGAATATTTGAAGAATCGATTTGAAGTATAGAATCAGCTGTACACACTATCTGTGATGAAATTTTTTTGTAAGCAGTTTTAGTGCAGTCATCAAAGAACAGAAAATTCTTTTGCCTTGTATAGTTAAATTGTCATGAATGTTGCTTTAACAGTAAAAAAAAAAATTGAATACTTATAGACTGTTCTACTTTAATTGGTCAAAAATAATGTTCAGAAAAGGGCCATCTTTCAAGAGTTATTGTTTTGATAATGTATAAATAAGTGAGCAATATGTTTCTGTAAAATAATCAAATAGGTAGGAGCAGAAGTAGGTTATTTGCCCCATGTCTACTTTGTCATTCAGCAAGATCATAGCTGACTACCTCAGCTGCATCTTCCCCCTACTTCCTTCAGTTTCCTTCGTATCTAAAAATCTTTAAATCTGACACTTGAATAGACTGAATGACTAAAGTTACACAGCTCTTGGTTAGAGAACTCCAACGGTTCCCCATTTCTTTGCGTGGAAAACATCCTCCGCATGTTGGTTCTAAACGGCTGAGCATTATTCCGAGACCTTGTTATAGACTCCCCAGCCAGGGGAAGCATACTTTGCAGCATCTGTCCTGTTAAGTCCTTTAAGAATGTTTGAGATTTTGAAGAGGTTTTTTTGTTCGAAAACGTTAGTGATAATAGACCTAGTCTATTGACTCTCTCCCTACGAATTAGTCTGGTAAACCTATAATACTGTAGTGCTTGAAGTTTCTCATAATTTTAATAGCGTTTATTTAGCCTTCTACTCCAGTTCCTTTGTATTAAACCATTTGCTTTCATAATTGCTTTCTGCAGCTACGTGATAACTTTTTGATTCATGGGTAAAGACATCTATTTCCTCTCAATGCTAACATTTCCAAGTCTCATGATTTAAAAAAAAATCTGCTTTTCCATTTTTCCTATCAAAGTGGATGGTTTTACATTCATCCATGTGAAATTTCCTCTCACAAGTTCTTCCCCATTCATTTAATTATTTTTCCAGCCAACATTTCCACCCAACTCTGCATAATCACAACTTGGGTATTTTACTCTTGATCACTCCAATAAGCATTGATATAGATTGTAAGTAGCTGAGGCCCAAGCACTAATTCTGACAGTACACTAAAATCGACTGCCTGCCAACCCCAAAAGAAAGAAAACAAAGAACTGCGGATGCTGGAAGTCTGAAAAAAAAAACCCAGAAATTGCCAGAGAATGTCAACAGGTCTGACAGTATCTATGTAGAGAAAGCAGAGTCAGCACTTTGGATCCAGTGATCTTTCTTCAGAAATGTTTATAGCTAGGAAAAATTGTTATATGTGGTGAAGACAGGAGATGGTGGTACAGGGTTGGGGGGGGTGGGTTGGGGTGCTACAGGAATAAACAAAAGGTGGAGATGGCCCAAAGAGAGAGAGCAGCAGTTGGGTAGACAAAGGGCTGGATAATGGTGAGCCAGGGAGAATGAAAAGCTGATAATAAGAACTATTAGTAGGTGAAAATGGCTGTGGTGAAAGCAGCCTATGTGATGACAGGACCAGGGGTGTGGGAATGGGTAAAGGACGTTTTTGTTTTCTTTATTCATTCGTGGGATGAGGGCGTCGCTAGCATTTATTGCCCATCCATAATTACCCAGGGGGCAGTTATGAGTCAACCACATTGCTGTGGGTCTCGAGTCACATGTAGGCCAGACCAGGTGAGGATGGCAATTTCCTTCCCTACAGGAACCTTTCCTTCCATTAGTGAACCAGATGGGTTTTTCTGACATCGGCAATGGATTCACAGTCATCATTGGACTCTTAATTCCAGCTACTTATTGAATTCAAATTCCACCATTACAATTCCCCAGAACATTACCTGGGTCTCTAGATTAACAGTCCAGCAATAATACCACTAAGGCCATTGCAGGGAAGATGTGTCCAGGCCCTAAAATTATTTAATTCAATATATTCAGTATTGAGTTGCGAAGGCCACAGAGTCCCAAGTGGAAAATGAGGTTCTTTTAGTGTGCAGTGAACTTCGCTGGAATACTGCAGTAGGTCTGAGACAGAAATATTGGTCAAGAAACACAGTGTTGTTGAAGTGGCAGGTATGCGGAAGCTTGTCATTTTTGTGAACAGGATGTAGGTGTTCCACAAAGCATTTGTCTATCCTGTATTTCATCTCCCAAAGTAAGGGAGACCATATTTGAAGCAGTGCAATCCCAAAAGACCTGTTTATTCTCACAACTGCCTTTCTGTTCATTAACCAACCCACACTAACTGGCCTGTTTTGTGTTTTCTTTCTCATTCCTTGAACATCTTGGTAATATTTGCTGCCTTGCAAATTATAATGAATTTAGGGGACTTCGGAAGCTTTTTGGAAGTTTCACGCAGGTCCAGGGAATTTGTCTGCTTTTAGTATTGCTAATTTCTCCAGTTTATTTGCTAGCCCGTTTTAAATTTTTCATTCTTAGACCCTTGCTTCTCTAAATTTTTTGGGTCTTAGTTGTCTTCTAGTGCAAAATCAGATATAACATATATGCCTAATTTCTTTGTTCTTCAGTATAATTTCGCCTGCTCTTTTTCTCATAGTCTATGCATGCGTTTTCTAATTTCTTCCTTTCAGAAGCTTGTACAACTATTTTATATCTTTTGCTATATTACTGTCCTTCTCATTTCTCTTTAAATATATGTTGACCATTTTGGACTGAGAAAGGATAGATCAGGGTACTTTCTAGGTGATAGGAAGCTAAATACAATGAGTATCCAAGAGACTTCGGGATTTAGGTGTATAGATCTTTACAATGTCAAAAATAGTTGCAGAAAATAATCAAGAAAACTAATGGAATCATGGCCTTTATATCTAGAGAAATGGAGTAGAAGGATGGCGAAGTTTTGCCACAATTATACAGAACCCTGCTGAGATGCCAATTAGACTATTGGAAACAGATCTGTGCATAATACCTTAGGAAGAATATATTAGCCTTGGAGTGCGTACAATGTAGGTTTACAAGAATGATACCTGGACTTCAGGAGTTGCGTTATTAAGAGAGGCTATGCAAATTAGGCCTGTTTTCTCGAGAAATTATAAGGTTAAATGATCTGATTGAAGTCTTCAAGATAGTAACAGGAAAAGACAGGGCAGGTAAAGAAAGCTATTTCCACTGGTTGGGGATTCTAGAACTAAGGGCCATAGTCTGAGAATTGTGTCAGACCATTCAGGAGAGAGATTAGAACTTATTACTATATGCAAAGGTGGTTGATGTTTGGAGCTCTCTTTTACAAATGGCAGTGGAATGGTGGATCAGTTGATGATTTTAAATCTGAGACAGATGCATTTTGTTAAGCAAAGTTATTAAGGGATAGGGGCCAAAGGTATGTATATGGACTTAGGCTGTAGTTTAGCCATGGTCTCTTTGAATGGCAGAACAGGCTCAAGGGGCTGAATAGCCTACTTCTGTTCGCATTTCTAAACTTTCCTGAATTCTAAAATCTTCCCAATCTTCAGCCTTTCTACCTTTTTAGTCTTTTTCTTTGCTAATTATGTTAATTCAAAAAAAGTTACAACAGATAAGGAAAATCAGAAAAATAGAAAAAAATTGTTAAAAACCCGGAATTTGTGAAGTAAGAATCATTTAATGTTTCAGGTTGGTGACCTTCCGTTAGAACTGGAAAAGTTAGAGGTGTGGCAAATTTTTAAAACAAGTATAAATTTACACCATCTCTTTTGGAATTTAATTTCTGCTATCTTTCTCTTCTGTTTTAACTCTACTCCCTCCTTTTATAACTATTTGTTTCGTTTTGTTCAGATGAACATTATATGTAGCTTCTTTTGTGATTTGATCCTATCTCAATTCAATGTTTTTGTTTGACAGTTATTTGCCGGTGTACTGATCGAAGGTAATTTGATAGAAAACAAAGAACATCAGGATCGGTCTGAGAAATGTTTAATTTTGGGAAATAAAGACTATCTTGATGAGGGAACCCGAGTGCACAAGGACCTCCTGGAAGGAGCAAGAGGTAAATTACCTTTCCGCAATTGTTGATAATGCAACTGTTGAAGCCAAGAAAACTACACAAATATTTAATGCATGTCCAATCATCTATTCAAAAACAGAAATTTCTGGAAAAACTCAGCACGTCTGGCAGCATCTGTGGGGAAAAAAAGCAGAGTTAACGCTTTGGGTCCAGTGACCCTTCTTCAGCACTGATTGTAACCAGAAACATTTGGTATATATGCTGAATGTGGGTTGGGAAGAGCGGGAAAGAGTAAACAATATGTGGAGATGGATTTCAGAGAGAGAGAGAAAAACAATTGGGCAGACAAAGGATTGGGTAAAGGCCAAGCTGGGATTATCAATAGCGGCTGATAGGGAGGCCATTAGTGGTTGACAATGGATTGTTTGTTGGGCTTAAGGTAAGAACATGGGAGAAGGTGCTCAAGCCCTAAAATTATTGAACTTGATATTGAATCCTCAAGGCTGCAGTGTCCCCAAGTGGAAAAAGAGGTGCTGTTCTTCCAGCTTGCACTGAGCTTCACTGGAACACTGTAGCAAGCCTGAGACAGCGATGTTGGCCAGGGAACATGCTGGTGTTTTGAAGGGGCAGGCAACAGGAAGCTCAGGGCTATTTTGCAGACATTAACGTAGGTGTTCTGCAAAGTGTTTGCCAAGTCTGCACTTCTTCTCCCCAAGGTAGAGGAGACCACACTGTGAGCAGCAAATATAGAGGACTAAATTGAGTGCAAGTAAGTCATTGCTTGACCTGGAAGGTATGTTTGGGACCTTGGATAGTGAGGAGGGTCAAAGTAAATGGGTAGGTGTTGCACCTTTTGCGGATGCGTAGGAAGGTGCAGCAGGGGTTTTGGGTGTGAAAGAGAAGTGAACCAAAATGTCCCAGAGGGAACGGCCCATGTGGAAGGCTGACAATGGAGGGGAGAGGAATATGTATCCGGTGACGGCATCCTGCTGGAGGTAGCAGAAATGTTGGCTAATGATCCTTTGGATGTGGCTGCTGGTGGGTTAGTGTTTGAGGACAAGGGGAACCCTGTTCTGTTCTGGAGGGAAGAGAAGGGATGAGGGCCAAACTACAGGAGATGGGTTGTACACAGCTGAGGGCTCTGTCAACCACAGTGGTGGGGACTTCTCTGAGGAAGGTGACATTTTGGAGGCATCCTTGTAGAAATTGGCATTGTCAGAACAGCTGTGACAGAGATGGAGAAACTTTGGGAATGGAATAGTGTTTATAGGAAGCAGGGTGTGAGGATATATAGTGAAGGTAACTAAGGGAATAAGTGGGTTTGTAATGGATATTGGTGGCCAACCTGTCCTCAGAAATGGAAACAGTGAAGTTGAGGAGAGGAGGGAAGAGTCACAGATGGACCAGGTGAAGGTGAGAGCAGGATGAAAATTCCAATTCCAGACGAGAGTGTGAAGCGGCACCAATGATGTTATTGATGTACCAGATCAAGAGTTAAGGGTGGGAGCCTGAGTAGAACTGGAATGAGGAATGTTCTGCATGCCCCACAAAGAGACAAGCATAACTGAGGGGCCCATGCAGATACCCACGGCCACACCTTTGACCTGCAGCAAGTGAGAGTAGTTAAAGGAGAAGTTTTTCAATGTGAAGACCAGCTTGGCCAGGCAGAGGAGGATGATGGAGAATGGGGACTGTTCAGGCCTTTTTCCTGGGAAGCAGCGGAGAGCCCTATGACCATCCTGATCAGGCGTGGATGTGTGAAGGGATTTACATCCATGATGAAGAGGAGATGGCTCAAGCCCACTACCTGGAAATTCTGAAACTTACGTAAAGTGTCAGAAGAATCGTGGATGTAACTGGGAAGGGAATGGACAAGGGAAGAAAAAGTGAGATACTGTCAACTCTGCTGAGTACTTCCAGCAATTTACCACACCTACCACACTTCCCTACATCAGGAATATATCAGAACTGATGACAAGACTCCTAAGACCACTAGGAATCATGGTGGCTCACAAACCCACAGCCACTCCATGACAAACACTTGCAAGGATTAAAGACCCCATTCCCACAACATGCAGAACGAACATGGTTTACAAAATACCATGCAACGACTGCCACAAACATTACATTGGACAGAAAGGAAGGAAACTAGCCATCAGAATACACAAACATCAACTAGCAGCAAAACGGCACGATGAACTCTCCTTAATATTTGTACATTCAGATAATGAAGGCCATCAATTTAACTGAGACAAAGTAACCATAGTAGCCCAAGTCAAACATAGACACACATGGGAATTCCTAGAGGCATGGTTCTCCACCCATACTTCAGTCAACAAACATATAGAATTGGACCCCATATACAAACCCATACAGATTAAAACCGGAAATGACAGTACTCACCATAATGGACCGGACAGTATAAATTCCAAGCGGAGTAGAATAATATTGCCTCACCAGAGGCTCCACTGATGATGTCACCTAGCATAGTGATGAAATGTCTGAACAAAAACAAAAAGCCTATTTGGCGAGCAAGTCAACAACCTCATCCAAAACCCGAGCTACAGATCTTTGCCAATACTTTAAATTTGGTAACATAGTCGTGGATGTACAGGGAGTACAGTAGGGGGCTGAGAATGCATCCTTGGGGAGCTCCAGTTTTGAGTGTTATCATGGAGGAGATGCAATGTCTATCTACACTGATTGTGGTCGGTGGGTCAGAAAGCTGAGGAACCAATTGCAGAGGGCAGAGCCGAGACCTAGGTCTCAGAGTTTTGAGGTCAGTCTGGAGGGGATAACGGTGTTGAAGGCGGAGCTGTAGTTGATGAGCAGGAGTCTGACGTAAGTGTTGTTGTTGCCTAGATGTTCCAGGGATGAGTGCGGGGCTGGGGAAATGGCGTCCGCTGTGGACCTGTCATGCCGAAAGGCAAATTGTAGAGGATCAAGGCAGGCTGGGAGACTAGAGTTGATGTGCGCCATGATCAGAGAAGCTATTTCTGCAGAATCTTTGCATAGGAGATGTAACCTTAAAGAAAAAAAAAATAGGGCCAGTCCTTTCAGAAATGAGGTTCAGAAGGACATCTACACAAAATTCCATAAATCTCTTGCAAAACTGTAGTTAACGCTAGGTCAACTGTTAATTTTGAGTTTGTGATTGACAAATCTTTGTTAACCACATGTATTAAGCATATGGATTTAAATAACAGTTCAGTCAAAATTTTCTTGTGATTAAGTGGGTTCATGACCAAATGACCTATTCTTCTTCTAGTCCTCCAACACGTTATACAGTTTTTTGGAAACGTTCTCTAACATTTTGTCTGATATTCTGCAGCAGTGTTTAAATGACTGTGTACACTTCTTTTAAACATATGCCCATATAATTCTTGCTTGTTAAAAAAAATAGTCTGTGAAAGTATAAATGCAAACCATTAATAACTTGCTGGCCCTGATTTTGCATGAGTAATGACTGTGAAACTGTTGGTGTACATGCAAATTGTGGAATTACAGAAGTTGCTGTAATTGAAATTCTAAACATCTCTTAGAAAGTGCCCTTTCCATCCCACCTTCATTCCCCCAAGTTTACAATCAGTCAGAAACTGGTTAACAGACAGGAACCTGCCTGTTATTGTTATCGTGATGATTAGTTTGTCTGCAGAAATTCTTGAAAGAATTATATCTTGCTGAATGAAGGAACTGAGTCTTGAATAGAATACTAAGTTTATTGGACAGCCTCATTGGGACTGAAAAAGTAGTTTGAATTTGGTGGAATGTTGAATTTTACAATAATGATTTTAAAAATCACCGATTAAAAACATACATTATATAGAACTGCATATTTCAGCTTTTACCTTCATCTGTGTTTGCCAAAATAGTTTATTTTGCTGTACAATATTTAAAGGCTATAAAATCAGCACTTAAATCTCCCTGCTTTGCTCTCTGTAAGAATCCTCCATTGTGCTTGATTACTTACCCTGCTGGATTAGCTCACTGCTAATGAGCAGCTAGAGATCTCCTTTTATTGATGAGAAATTCTAACAGTGTTGCTGAAGGGAATGATTACCCCATATAGATGCTAGATTTTGTGGGCAGCTTTTTCCCAGGTGGTTGGTGAGCACTGTTGTTTTGCTGTTGACCAGAAATTTGGGCTTTTATATTTAGTTTATTACACAACGGGGGGGGGGGGGGGGGGTTAGCGTGGGGCGTTGGGGGGATTTCTGGTCACAGTAACCTGGAAAGTAGTAATCTGTAAATGCCTAACATATGATGTTTTCATATTTAGGCAATTATGAGAGTTTGTTACAACTTAAATTGCTTGTTTATTCCAACAAATGCAGTAGAACAGTTCCTGGATTATCATGGCTAAACGTTGCAGCAGCTTTGTGAAGACATTTGACATGAATGGAAAGATTGCTCAATTCAAAGACTATTAGAAATTGTGAAATGCTTCTCGGACTTTGAATTGAGTATTCAATCAGAATTTCATAGCTTCGCTTCACGAAGCACATCTTCAAAATTTGATTCTGGAGGGGACGTTGTGAAGTTAACTGACCTGTAACTTTGAGATAACAAGGTGTAGAGCTGGATGAACACAACAGGCCGAGGAGCAGGAAAGCTGACGTTTCGGGCCTA